TATATATAATAGCTTGCATCTGCTAATCCCAAACTCCCAATCCTTCCCTCCCCCACCCCCCCTTCTCTTGGCAACCACAAGTCTGTTTTCTATGTTTGTGAGTCTGTTTCTGTTTTGTAGATAGGTTCATTTGTGTTGTATTTTAGATTCCACATATAAGTGATATCATACGGTCTTTGTCTTTCTCCTTCTGACTTACGATGTAAGTAGTATTATCTCACTTTTACAAATGAGGACACTGAGGCACAGAGAGGTTCACTAACTCACCCAAGGTCACACAGCTAAAAAAATAGCCAGGATCTGAATCCAGGCAGTCTGGCTCCAGAGTCTCTACTCTTGCTATAGTTCTTCTCTTGTGTGCATTCATTCACTCAATCATTCACTAAATATTTGTAACATATCTACTTTGTGTCAGGCACAAGATTTTAGAGACCAGCAGATGACTAAAAAATGGTCTCTGCCATCTCACACCAGTTAGAATGGGCATCATCAGAAAATCTACAAACAACAAATGCTGGAGAGGGTGTGGAGAAAAGGGAACCCTCTTGCACTGTTGGTGGGAATGTAAATCGATACAGCCACTATGGAGAACAGTATGGAGGTTCCTTAAAAAACTAAAAATAGAATTACCATATGACCCAGCAACCCCACTACTGGGCATATACCCAGAGAAAACCATAATTCAAAAAGACACATGCACCCCAATGTTCACTGCAGCACTATTTACAATAACCAGGTCATGGAAGCAACCTAAATGCCCATCAACAGATGAATGGATAAAGAAGATGTGGTATAGATATACAATGGAATATTACTCAGCCATAAAAAGGACTGAAATTGGGTTATTTGTAGAGACGTGGATGGATCTAGAGACTGTCATACAGAGTGCAGTAAGTCAGAAAGAGGAAAACAAATATCGTATATTAACACATATATGTGGAACCTAGAAAAATGGTACAGATGAACCGGTTTGCAGGGCAGAAATAGAGATACAGATGTAGAGAACAAATGCATGGACACCAAGGGGGGAAAGTGGCGGAAGGTGGTGGTGGGATGAATTGGGAGATTGGGATTGACATATATACACTAATATATATAAAATGGATAACTAATAAGAACCTGCTGTATAAAAAAAATAAAATTCAAAAAAAAAGGTCTCTGCTATCAGGGAGCTCACAGTCTAGTAGGAAATGCAAAACAAATAAATAAGGGGAAGGGAAAAATATATTCATTCAGCAAACATTCACTGACATCTACTAAATGTCAGCCCTCTGTTAGGCACTGGAAATCAGAGATAAGACACAGTTTCTGCTTCAAGGTGTTTACATTCTAATAACAGAGGGAAAGTGTGAATTACTGCGTGTAATCATGGCAGCATGAGCTGAATAGGGTAAAGGAGAAGGTAGGGGACTCTGGGACCCCGGGATAGGAGGTCTAACCATCTGGGGGCTGGTTTGGATGGGTCGGTGGCTGAGCGGTTGGGTAGGTGGATATGTGGATAGTTGGATGGATGGATAGATGACAGTATTTTGAAGGATGGTTAGATGAATGGATATATGGATGGATGGATGGATGGATAGATAGGTATTTGGAAGGGCAGGTAGATAGAAAGAAAGAGTTTGGAAGGATGGTTGGATGAATGGTTATATGGATGGACAGATAGATGGATGAATGGATAGTTATTTGGAAGCATGCTTGGGTCAATGGATGGGTAAAAAGCTGAGCTCATTGCTGGCAAGTTGGACATTATCCCAGTGAGATCACCAGAACAGCTGAAAGAAAGGGATGGAAATCCATTCATTCTTTCAGCAAATGTTTATTAAGCACCTATTTATGTGTCTGGTACCATTTTAGGCTCTGGAATTAGATGGTACTTGCCTTTATGGAACTGACATTCCAGAGAGAAAGCAGAGGACAAACAAATAATCAAATATATATAGAATCTGCTGTCAGAGACTAATAAATACTATGACGACAAAGTAAAGCAGGTCGAGAGGGCAAAGATGATGGAGGGGGCATTTTATCTTAGGGAGTCAGGAGAGACCTCTCTGAGAAGGCGAGTTCTGAACAGAAAGTGAGGAAGTGTGCCATCTGGGGAATAGCATTTGAGACAGAGGGAACAGCAAATGTAAGAGCCCGAGGCAAGGAGGCCAGTGTCACTGAGTGAGGGAGAGAGGAGATGAGGTCCCAGATGGTGTGTTTGGAGTCTGGGGTCCGGGTGGGAGATATGGGCAGATCACCTTCTGGGCCCTATAAGGAGTGTGTGTGGGTTTGGTTATGTCTCGGAAAACCAATGGCAGACTTTGAACCTGGGCTGATTTGTGTTTGGAAAGCACCACCCCCCTCGCCGTTTCCCTGCTCCCCTCGGTGGGGGTCCCAGCCCTGCATCCTCCTGGCCTGTTCACAGCTGGGAGGCTGTCAGCATTTTGATTACAGCTCCCAGCTCTCAATGGTTTACAGCTCAACGGTGAAACAGGCCCTGGGCCACGAGTGGCACCTCGGAGTGATTTACTTGCTCACTATTTCTATATTTAGTGCTGTTTAATGCCTCTAGGCCAAGTTTTCAGAAAGAAAAAGGAGGAGGAATTTAGGGGGAGTTGGTTACTTTTTTTTTTTTTTTAACACGTAGATCCATTTTTCAGTTATTTTCTGAGATTATTGCCCAGACTTTAAAAAAGTTGCAGGATGCCAACTAATGGTGTATTCTGGGACATCTTTTCTTTCTAAGAGAGCCTAGTCTCCGCTAAGCTGCCCTTTTCTCTTGAAAGTTTGTGTCTGCTTTCTGGTGAGCGCGAGCTGGACCGAGTGTGTGACTCAGGGGGCGAAGGTATTCATTACTTAATATTTCACAGAATACGGCTGGACTTCAGGCTGTTTGCTCTCACTGACCCCTAAAGCGGGGTCCCTCAGACCCCCAGCCAAGGCATCTGCAGGGCATCTCAGATTTTAATTTGCACACGAATCACCTGAGGAGTGTGAAGACGCAGCTTCTGATTCTGCAGGTCTGGGATGAGGCCTGAGAGTCTGCATTTCCAACAAGCTCCCGGGTGATGCCCTGGGACCAGTCTTTGAGCTCAAGGATTTTCATCAGTGCTGTCCAATAGAAATTAATACGAGCCACACAGGTAACTTAAATTTTCTAGTAGCCACATCAAAAAGGTAAAAAGGATGACAGTAAACTTAATATCTTTTATTTAATCTAATATGTCCAAAATATTGTCACTTCCCTACGTAATCGATATGAAAATACTGAGATGGTTTGCGTTCTTTTTTTTTTCCATAAGTCTTTGAAATCTGGCAGTTGCTTTACACGTAGAGCACATCTCCGTTCAGACTAGCCACAGTTCAGGCGGTCGTGTGGCTGGTGGCTCCCCTCTTGGACGGCACAGATCTCAATGTGGCTTGAATACCTCTGGTGACAGGGAGCTCCCTCCCTCCTGGGACGTTCACTCCATCCCCACAGGCTCTTAGTTGGGATTTGCCCCCAGCCCAACTAGGAAGAGCCAGCTTCACTCCCCGGGTCCCCAAGCTGGTTGGCATCCTCTGCAGAGAACCGTCTTGCAAAAATGCGGAGGGCCCCTCGAAGCCCTCCCCTCCGGCTCCCTCCTGTGAGCGGGCCCCTCACGCGCTCTGCCTCAGCGATGGTCTCTTTTGTTGTTGTTGTTCTTTCTTGTTGAAGAACTGGGGTCAGGGAGTTTCAATGCTGTTCCCCTGATCACCCAGCCAGGAGGTGGCAGAGCTAGGGCTCCAAGTAAGGACATTGAGACCTCTCCTCCCTCTGCTGTAAGAGGCTCCAGGTCCTTCATGACAGCGGACCTTCCTGGCCCACTTGAGCTCCTCCAGGCACACAGGGCCGGCCCACCTGGACTGACGGAGCCGCAGAGCTGGCCGGGAGGGTGGGCATCAGAAGCCACACGGCCCCGGGGCTCAGATCCTGTGTCAGCTCTTTGTTGCCACAGAGCAGTAAGAAGCAGCTCATCCCCCCACCATGCCCACCCCCTGCCCGGGGGAGAGCCCCCGCCATCTCGGCTGGAAACTGCCCTGGGATAGAGATAACCCAGGGTGTTTTTCCCAGTCGCTGGCCTGGAAAAAAAACTGACTCCACTGGGGGCAGGAAAGAGGCTATCTCAGGGGAGGTGTCCCTGCGCCCGTGTCCTCAGGCCTGGCTGCAGGGCAGCAGGAACTTCGGCCCAGACCAGCCACCCTCCTGGACACCAACACAAAAGGGGCTTCTGCTCTGGGATGGGGGCTTCAGTGGTACCTGGTCACTGGGCAGGGCCTTGCTGAGGTCAGGGCAATTCATCTGGGCGTGGCCAGGGGCACAGAGGGTGGTCAGCCGGAGGGCGGATGCCTCTGTGCTCTGGGGCGTCCGCTCCTATGTCCTCTGTCCCAAAGCCCCTCCCTGGGGGCTTCAGCTTGATATTCTATGGACTGAGCCAGGGCCTCCTGTACCAGACCCAACCGTGAAGGAAATGGCCGTCCAGGCTCCCGAGCCAGGGTGGATTCATTCATTCGCTCATTCGTTCATTCAGCAAATGCTTGCTGAACATCTCAGCCTCGTCTTGGTGCCTCCTGAACGAGAAAGATGAGGAACCGGAAGAAGGGTGTCACAGGCAGAGGGGACAGCAGGTGCAGAAGCCCTGGGGGCTTGGAGTGGTTCAGAAGGACGTGGCATTAAGTGTGCACAGAGGGATTCACAGAGCTGCACAGCCGTCAACACAAGCAATTCTAGAACTTTTCATCGCCCCAAAAGGAACCCCCGTACCTGTTAGCAGTGACTCCCCATCCCCCTTTCCCCCAGCGCTGGGCAGCCAGTAATCTGCTGTGTCTGTGGGTTTACCCATTCTGGACATTGTGTGTAAACGGAATTGTACAATATATGACTTCAGGGGTCTGGCTTCTTTCACTGAGCATCATGTTTTCAAGGTCCATCCATGGTGTAGCAGGTGTTGGCACTTCATTCCTTTTTATGGCTGAATAATACTCCCCTGTATGGATAGACCACATTTAGTTTCTCTGTTCATCCGTTGACGGACATTTGGGTTGTTTCCCCTTTTGGCTGTTTGAATAGTGCTGCTGTGAACACGCATGGACAAGTTTTGTGTGTTTCTGGACGCGTGTTTCTGGTCTGATTGTTGTGCCGTGCTGTGGTCAGTGCCACACATCCTTGAAGTCCATCCTCTTCAGGGCTGTCCCTGAAAAAGCCATGTCTCTGGGTCAAGAGAGGAGGAGGGTCTGGACAGACACAGGTGGGACCTGCGCCCTGAGTACTCTGGCTCTGCATCCCTGTGGGGCTGGCCAGAGCCCCGCAGCCCAGCAGGTGCCGTGGACACTGGCTCGGCCTCCGTCAGCTGGTTCACGGGGGCTGCCCCTGGAAAGCGGCGAGTGGGCCTCCGGCTTCTGTGCTTCCTTGCTCCCCATCTGTGGTTCTGCCTGGCTGAGCCACTGTCCTACTTCTTCCCGCACCTGCTCAGGCCTCTGGTCTGTCCCCCACGTGGCTGCCTGAGGGAGCCTCTCCAGTGCCAAGTACCCTGTCCTGTCCGGTGGTGGGTTGGTCCTCCCCCCTGACGGCTGGCTTCCTTCCCGTTTCTGGGCTCCCCCGCTCCCTTCCGCACTGCCCTTCTCCCGTGCCGTTCCCTCTGCCCGGATTGCCCTTTCCTGCTTTCTGTCCAGCCTGGCCCTCCTCAGGTCCTGTCTCAGCTCAGGGATTATTTCCTCACCTCCTCATTCCAGTCGGGCTCCTTTGTTCCTGCTCTCAGCCATTCACCCAGCAAGTATTTGCTGAGCACTGGCTGTGCTCTGGACACCAGTCAGAGTGCTGGGGCCACGGCAGGAGCATACAAACCGAGTCCCTGCCCTTGGGCAGTTGGCATTCTGGTAGGAGACAAGAGAAACCGAAGACAGAAATGTGTGCTATGTCAGATACCGATGCCCGTGGGGAGCAAAACGAACCAGGGCGGGGGTCAGGGAGAGTCCCTGCAAAGGTGAGATTTGAGCAAAGGCCCCTAGGAAAGGAGGGCGGGAGCCATGGAGAGGGTGGGGAAGAGTTCCAGGCAGAGGGAGAGCTGTGCAAAGGCCCTGAGGCAGGAGCATGCCTGGTGAGTTGGAGGAGCAGCAAGGAGCCCATGGCGATTAGGGTGGAGTGAACAAAGGTGTAGGGGTGAGGCCAAAGAGGTAGCAGGGACCACGGGGTGCAGGTGGAGACAGAACAGTGTAAGGGACCATGGAGTGTAGGTGGAGAGAGAACAGTGTGAGGGAACACGAGATGTAGGTAGAGAGAGAACAGTGTGAGGGACCATGGGGTATAGGTGGAGAGAGAACGGTGTGAGGGACCACGGGGTGTAGGTGGAGAGAGGACGGTATATGGGACCATGGGGTGTAGGTGGAGAGAGGACAGTGTACGGGACCACGGGGTGTAGGTGGAGAGAGGACGGTGTACGAGACCACGGGGTGTAGGTGGAGAGAGGACGGTGTACGGGACCACGGGGTGTAGGTGGAGAGAGGACCATGTATGGGACGACGGGGTGTAGGTGGAGAGAGGATGGCGTACGGGACCACATGGTGTAGGTGGACAGAGGACAGTGTGAGGGACCATGGGGTGTAGGTGGAGAGAGGACGGTATATGGGACCACGGGGAGTAGGTGGAGAGAGGACGGTGTACGGGACCACGGGGTG